TAGGGTGTAGGGGTGTATGAGATGCCCAAGGAACTGTTAACATGAGGACAAACTCCTTAGCAACTATGTACAAATCCATAGACAAACAGTCTCTTCTTGAAGAGCTCTCCAGCCCTCCTGGTATACCACCTCAGACCCCAGATGATTACTCCTCTTCACCAAGCTGCCTGAGGGAATCCCTGGGCAAGGGGACCCAGAAGCTGCTACTTTAGGAAAGCAGTCCAAGATGAGGAGATTGTTGGGTTTTCTACCTGACTGCCCTCTCCTCTTATCTAGCTCAGGGGGTGTAGGATTACTCAATCTGCCACTCCTGTAAGTTTGATGGGTTGGTGGCTGCCTTACGCTGGACTGGCTTTTTCCTGCTTCCCAGACTGTCCTTTCTCATGGGATGGTTGAGGTAGAGAGATCCTCCTGTCCAGCACCTGCCTGTAGACCTGTAGGTAGGCCTCTCCCTGGCCCCCTCCCAGGCTCCACACTCTAGCCTTTCACTCCATCTTGCACCAGACACTAACCAACTCCTCTCAGGCTCTGCAGTACTTAAGGGGTTGCCTTGGTCACCATGCCCAGCCTCCTGCCAGGGGATTGGCCAAGGTCCCTCAAGTATGTTGATATGAGCTTTCTCCCCTCCTCCATCCCTCCTCCAGAAAGTTCTCTGGTTTCTGGAGGAGTGGGAGTGCTCCAGAGGTTCTAACTCTCAGAACCTCTATAGCCTGTCCTGAGGTAACCTCCCTACCTAACTCCCAGGCTAACTTATCCCAGGTTGCTACTCAGCCTCTGACTTAAAAACCTGTCTAGCTCCCCCTAGCTAAACTTGAGGGTGCTACATAATTATCACACAAAAACATATTAGAGAAAATGTTTAAAAAAAAACTAAGTCAGTTTTTGTTACCTACAGCAAATATGTATTTTTTATACACCCAAATCAAAGTAAAAAAATAATCTGGTTGATGTGAGTAATGGGCAACAAGTACGAGGCAAGAACATATACAAGGTTCAGCGGGGCAGTTTTAGGCAGGCTACATTTACACAGGAGTTCATATGTGGCCAAGGGTGGCCACCGGTAAGAATCAGCAGATTCTTGTTGGCAGTTGTAAACATTGTTGCACACACTGTCTACGAACAGCTGCAGGTGTCATCCAAGCAGTTTCATGAAAATACATACCCTGGACACAGCTAGTGTGCATCTAGTCTCAGTTTTTCTGCAGAACCACACATAAGCTGCCTGCAGGTAGTCGGCCAGTTTGTATGCGGCAATAGCAGAAACTGTTGCTGCATCCAGAGGCAACGTTTAGTACAGGGGTGGGCAAACTTTTTGACTTGAGGGCCGCAATGGGATCATATATTGGACCCGGGGGCCGGACCAAGAGTAGATGAATGATGTGTATGTGTCATCCATAGTAAGTATAGTAATATTCCCCCATAGTAAGCATAGCAATTAATCCCCCATATAGTAATTCATCCCCCATAGTAATTCATCCACCATATAGTAATTCATCCCCCATAGTAATTCATCCCCCATAGTAATTCATCCACCATATAGTAATTCATCCCCCATAGTAATTCATCCACCATATAGTAATTCATCCCCCATAGTAATTCATCCCCCATATATATAGTAATTCATCCCCCATATAGTAATACATCCCCCATATAGTAATTCATCCCCCATAGTAATTCATCCCCCATATAGTAATTCATCCCCCATAGTAATTCATCCCCCATATAGTAATTCATCATCCCCCATAGTAATTCATCCCCCATATAGTAATTCATCCCCCATATATAATTCAATAGTCATCCCCCATATAGTAATTCATCCCCCATAGTAATTCATCCCCCATATAGTAATTCATCCCCCATAGTAATTCATCCCCCATATAGTAATTCATCCCCCCCCCATATAGTAATTCATCCCCCATATGTAATTCATCCCCCATAGTAATTCATCCCCCATAGTAATTCATCCCCCATAGTAATTCATCCCCATATAGTAATCCCCCATAGTATTCATTCATCCTTCCACCATATAGTAATTCATCCCCCATAGTAATTCATCCACCATATAGTAATTCATCCCCCCATATAGTATTCATCCCCCCATAGTAATTCATCCCCCGTATAGTAATTCATCCCCCATATAGTAATTCATCCCCCATATAGTAATTCATCCCCCATAGTAATTCATCCCCCCTATAGTAATTCATCCCCCATAGTAATTCATCCCCCATATAGTAATTCATCCCCCATAGTAATTCATCCCCCATAGTAATTCATCCCCCCCCTATAGTAATTCATCCCCCATAGTAATTCATCCCCCTTAATTCAGTAATTCATCCCCCATATAGTAATTCAGTAATCCCCCATAGTAATTCATCCCCCACCATATAGTAATTCATCCCCCATAGTAATTCATCCACCATATAGTAATTCATCCCCCATAGTAATTCATCCCCCATAGTAATTCATCCACCATATAGTAATTCATCCCCCATAGTAATTCATCCACCATATAGTAATTCATCCCCCATAGTAATTCATCCCCCATATAGTAAATTCATCCCCTATAGTAATTCATCCCCCATAGTAATTTCATCCACCATATAGTAAATTCATCCCCCATAGTAATTCATCCCCCATATAGTAATTCATCCCCCATATAGTAATTCATCCCCCATAGTAATTCATCCCCCATAGTAATTCATCCCCCATAGTAATTCATCCCCATATAGTAATTCATCCCCCATAGTAATTCATCCCCCCATATAGTAATTCATCCCCCATATAGTAATTCATCCCCCATAGTAATTCATCCCCCATATAGTAATTCATCCCCCATATAGTAATTCATAGTAATATTCATCCCCCCATAGTAATTCATCCCCCATATAGTAATTCATCCCCCATATAGTAATTCATCCCCCATATAGTAATTCATCCCCCATAGTAATTCATCCCCATATAGTAATTCATCCCCCATAGTAATTCATCATCCCCCATATAGTAATTCATCCCCCATAGTAATTCATCCCCCATATAGTAATTCATCCCCCATATAGTAATTCATCCCCCATAGTAATTCATCCCCCATATAGTAATTCATCCCCCATAGTAATTCATCCCCCATATAGTAATTCATCCCCCATATAGTAATTCATCCCCCATAGTAATTCATCCCCATATAGTAATTCATCCCCCATATAGTAATTCATCCCCCATAGTAATTCATCCCCCATATAGTAATTCATCCCCCATATAGTAATTCATCCCCCATAGTAATTCATCCCCCATATAGTAATTCATCCCCCATATAGTAATTCATCCCCCATATAGTCCCCCATAATTCATCCCCCATAGTAATTCATCCCCCATAGTAATTCATCCCCCCATATTAATTCATCCCCCATATTAAGTCCCCAAGTCCCCCCTGTGTCAATTCACTTACCTTTGCTCCGCACGTTCCTCTCGCCGTGTTCCCGCGCCGCTCCGGTGTAGCATGAAAATCTGTCTCCTATGAGGATCTGTCCCCCTCGACGTATCTGCGCATGTGCCAGTTTCAGGCATTAGCAGCCGATCGGCGATCTCCGGCACATGCGCAGATACGTCGAGGGGGCAGATCCTCATAGGAGACAGATTTTCATGCTACACCGGTCTTCAGGGCGGACTGTGAGAGGAGCCTAGAGGGAGCCTAGCTCCGCGGGCTGGATTAAAAGGTCCGCCGGGCCGTATACGGCCCGCGGGCCGTAGTTTGCCCATTGCTGGTTAGTATCTCTGGATGCAGCAAACTATCTGCATGTAAACTCCCCATGTAAACGTAGTCTTACAAAGCTGAGTGCAAGGAGACCCAGTGTAGAACATGAAGGATGGGAAATGATTTAACACAGTAAGCTTCTTTATATAAATCCAGAGAAAAGAAAGTTACTCAGAGTGGCCAGACAGATTTCTTGCTTCAATTTTTGCAGAGTAAATTAGCATTCATACCTGAACATGAGCATTTACAGATTTTGGAGCATTCTCATTCTGTGCACATCATTCAGTCTTGATAATTTATGTTTCAGCCAATGGAAAGCTTGATACGAAAAAGAAGAAATAGGTTTAAAAAAACTTACTTTCAGATGTGTTTTTCATGTCTTCCCTTTGAAGTCTATGGGGACAAAAACAACCCCTTTCTACTTCAAAAGAGGCTCTTGTACTTTTTTGAACTTCAGACTTTGAGCTATAGGGCACCTGAGCGCTGATTGGTGAACAGGCAAAATTTAAGAGCATGGGATTTTGGTTTGGCCTTTAGGTTAAGCTTGCGGTTTCCTCTGTAACTACCCTTTTCCTTTTAGTTCAGAAGCAGAAGTTAGGCAGTAGTTAGTTTGCACAGTCTTTGAATGCTTTCCTTTGATGGGTCTTTCTTGCAATTAATATTTTAGTGTTAGGGTCCACTTTTAATTGCCTTGAAAAAAATGGATGAAGTTTTAACTCATTTCAGTATCGGGAAACTTTATTTTTTATTTCTTAAATATATACAGTATATACTTTATATGTATAAAATAGGAAACCATGTTGAATACAAAGCAGTTGTACTGCACCACTGTGCAATGGTTTTGGAACCCCTTTGCTAGATTGAATGTGGAAAGTCAGTGTATCCTCTATATTGCTCCAGAGTTTCTTTTCTTCTATTTCAGTTCTACTAATAAGTTACAGCTGTATCATGCTGATGTACAATTGACAGGCATTATCACAAGCACCTATATTCTCATTGAATGTGCTCATATAATTTCTGTGTCCATGGCATAGCACTTTTGATGTGATGTCATGGCCATAGAAGGCTTGCACAAGTAAAAGATACAAAGCGTAAAAGATCTTTTGGTCAGTTCATTCAAAATGAGACTGCTACCTGAGAAGGGAAATGTCTTCAGTGGTTCAGTTTTAGGTATACGGAGCCACTGCAGGTGAACTATGGATATATTAGGCCACCAGCGATAAATCAGTCAGTGCAAGAAGAAAATAAAGAGGATGGGCCGTAGCTTTCCTGGCGGTATTCCCGAGTGTAGCTTGGGGTAAAGTTTCAGTACCACAAGCGGTAACCCCGAGCTACACTCGGCCTCACCATGCGGCGCTGCTGCCTCCGGGATCTGTTCTTCTCTTACCTTGTCCTGTGCTCCCGCGATGTCCCTCCTGCAGTGTCCCCTGTAATGTCCCCCGGAGGATGCCAGCATCTGTCTTCTGGGTTCCGTCCCCTGCAACGTCGGGATGTACGGGGACAGAACGGTAGGAAATTTGAAAATGACAAAAAGTGACATTCACTAAATTCACTAAAATAACATAGTAAAACATTACTGTTTAAACGCATTTCACATACATTTTGTTCATAGTGCTTTGTCCTGTGCCCTGCCTGCATTTCTACTGTTCTTTCTGCCTGGAAACTGAGAAACATCCATGGCATCTAAAAAGCGTCCCTTTAGGTCAAAATCGGTTTTAGACCAGCTAGAGAACAGCGATAGTAAATTAGAACCACTTGCAGAATTGAGTCATAATGATTCGTGGGGAAATTCATCATCAGACACTGAAAACGATTCTGCGACTTTGCTCAGTGATGTGCGAACTTGGCGCTATATTTCAAATTTCAGTGTTTTTGGTTTGATTATATTATTGAATTAAATTTATTATTATTATATTATTATTATTTTTTATGATTATTTATTAAATTATAATTTATGATTTCGTGTTTCAAATTTTAACATACCCGTGATGTTTACTAGACTCTTGTTCGGACAGATTTCAGTGAGTTATTCCTAAAAATTACAGGCCTACAATAAAATAAATACATATTTCCATGCAAAAAAATGTACCTCTTTGAGCACAGAAATATGGACATAATCAGACCGCTAGGGAGGTTAATTGGTACTGTTGAGCAGTGCAACATTCTGTAAAATGTGTTGCTCTCAGCAGCATGATATACGGGCACCTGTATGCCACCCTTGGCTATCCTAGGCCATGGCTTTTGTGGCCTATGACCAAATCTAGTCCTGAACATTTATTGTTTGAAAAAACATTCTGTGTTATTAATTTTTATGATATTAATATATCAAATCATTAGAAAAAATTTTTTAATCCTTTTTGAGTAATTATCCATAATTTTCCTGTACTGTTTTCATTTCCTGCCTATTGGGTATTTAGAAAAAAAATCTCATTATGAGGTTATACCATACCTTATTCCACATATGCAGAGATTATATTATTTGCATACATAACTGCTCTCCCTTTCATCGTGGCGATATTAGTATATTTGTTAATGTTCCACTATAAACAAAGATCGCTGTTTAATTGCAGGTATCTTACTGCAAATTGCTTTTTTCATTATATGTATAAACATTTTATTACAAAATGTGTGCAATTCTTCTTTTATTATTGCTTCACAAATACACAAAGTCTTCTTCGACTGAAATAAAACCTTTAGACTTTACGAAATGGATTTGTTTTGTGAATGGATGACTCCAATGAAGTCACTTTAAAAAGCTAAATATATTTTGTGCAATAAACTTTTAAATCAAGCAATAAAGTTGATATTTGTTCCTTCCAAGGTATAGTGAAGAAGAGCCAAATTTATTTTAGGATGATATTGCAAGGGCTTAGTGAAAAATCCATGTATATATTGGGGTGGTATTAAGCCAAATTGCTTTCCTAAAATCGCAACTGCCTCTCCTTTATTTTGTGTCCTATAGGTTAGAGGGAAGTAAAACCACGCTGACCTAACTTCTCTTATTTATACGTATTTCATTGTCCTTCACATTCCCTCAAGCAATAAATGGATTATAGATTACATAATAAAACTCTGACTTTGTATTGTTATGAAGTGATTTCTCTTTCTACAAGTTAAAGGCTAACACTGACTTAAACTATTATTTCAGTTATGACTAGAGAGTACAATCATTTAGTTTGTTTTTAAAATCTTTTGGATATTCTAGTGAGACCTCTATGTTGACTGCCAAAGCCATGGAGTCTCACTCCACCAGCTTTAGAGAAGTAAGGTTCTGAAGTTTCTTTTGCACTGGGCTTTTGAACCTGCTAAATGCTTGAGTAAATATTAATTATTCTACCAGTTACCTGGTGTTATAGACACAGGTATAAATGCTTGTGGGATGTTTGCAAATTCTTTGTAGAGGAAATTAACTCCAGAATCGGTGCCCCTACAAAGGCAGTCAGAGGACAGTATTGCCTGAGGTCTCCCTGCAGCCAATTTTCTATTTATGACTTAAAGTAGTATAGAAAAATATATTTTGGCTATACTGCTCCTGTAGGTCTCAGGAGTGCACTTTGTTTTGCACTAGAGTGACCTGTTTTCAGCCAAAAATGTCCTAAAGTCCGCTATTGGCTGACGTCACTCAGCTGGTCCAGGCTCTGAAAAGATCCCGACCATTTGGTCGGGATCCACCCAGGAGCCTGGATGGGCACCTGGCGCAGCCTCTCAGTGATCTGCTGAGTACCTGAGCCAGCTCATCCCACCCCCTCCACAGTCCAGCACTCGAGTGAGTGAGGGAGGAGCAGAGCAGAGAGTCAGAGCCTCAGAGTCATGGCTCTCTGCTCACTGTGGAGGGGAAGAACTGAGCGATCAACGTTTCTTGATCGTTCAGTTTTCACAGCAGAGTCAGCAGGAGACAGATGCAGCATCGGATTGATGCTTCCACCAAAAAGTCTTTTTGGCACAGCCAAAAAGTCTTGGATATACAGGTGAAACTCGGAAAATTAGAATATCGTGCAAAAGTTCATTTATTTCAGTAATGCAACTTAAAAGGTGAAATTAATATATGAGATAGACTCATTACATGCAAAGCAAGATAGTTCAAGCCATGATTTGTCATAATTGTGATGATTACAGCTAATGAAAACCCCAAATCCACAATCTTAGAAAATTAGAATATTACATGCAATCAATAAAAACAAGGATTGTACATAGAACAATATCGGACCTCTGAAAAGTATAAGCATGCATATGTACTCAGTACTTGGTTTGGGTCCCTTTTGAAGCAATTACTGCCTCAATGCGGCGTGGCATGGAAGCTATCAGCCTGTGGCACTGCTGAGGTGTTATGGAAGACAAGAATGCTTCAATAGCGGCCTTCAGCTCTTTTGCATTGTTCGGTCTCATATCTCTCATCTTTCTCTTGGCAATGCCCCATAGATTCTGTATGGGGTTCAGGTCATACAAGTTTGCTGGCTAATCAAGCACAGTAATCCCATGGTCATTGAACCAGGTTTTGGTGCTTTTGGCAGTGTGGGCAGGTGCCAAGTCCTGCTGGAAAATGAAGTCAGCATCCCCATAAAGCTTGTCTGCTGAAGGAAGCATGAAGTGCTCCAAAATCTCCTGGTAGACGGCTGCGTTGACCCTGAACTTAATTAAGCACAGTGGACCAACACCAGCAGATGACATGGCTCCCCTAATCAACACAGACTGTGGAAACTTCACACTGGACTTCAAGCATCTTGCAGTGTGTGCCTCTCCATTCTTCCTTCCTACTCTGGGTCCTTGGTTTCCAAATGAGATGAAAAAGTTGCTCTCATCAGAAAAGAGGACTTTGGACCACTGAGCAACAGACCAGTCTGTTTTTCTTTAGCCCAGGTAAGACGCTTCTGACGTTGTTTGTTGTTCAGGAGTGGCTTGACAAGAGGAATACGACATTTGAAGCCCATGTCCAGCATCCGTCTGTGTGTGGTGGCTCTTGATACACTGACTCCAGCCTCAGTTCACTCCTTGTGAAAGTCTCCAACACTTTTGAATGGCATTTTCCTGACAATCCTCTCCAGGCTGCAGTCATCCCTGCTGCTTGTGCACCTTTTTCTTCCACACTTTTCCCTTCCACATAACTTTCTATTAATGTGCTTTGATACAGCACTTTGGGAACATCCAACTTCTTTTGCAATTACCTTTTGAGGCTTTCCCTCCTTATGGAGGGAGTCAATGATGGTTTTCTGCACAACTGTCAGCTCAGCAGTCTTTCCCATGATTGTGATTCCTACTGAACCAGACTGAGAGACCATTTAAAGGCTCAGGAACCCTTTGCAGGTGTTATGGCTTAATTAGTTGATTAGAGTGGGACACTTTGAGCCTAGAATATTGCACTTTTTCACAATTTTGTAATTTTCTGAGATTGTGGATTTGGGGTTTTCATGAGCTGTAAGCCAAAATCATCACAATTATGACAAATCACAGCTTGAACTATCTTGCTTTGCATGTAATGAGTCTATCTCATATATTAGTTTCACCTTTTATGTTGCATTACTGAAATAAATGAACTTTTGCACAATATTCTAATTTTTTGAGTTTCACCTGTAATTGTCAGGTTGTTAAATAGAATGAAAAAAATCGGACAGATGATAAGCTGAATAGGAAATGTGTTCCATGCAGTCAGGCTCCTCATGCCTGACAATTATATACAAGACTTTTTGGCTGTGCCCCTTTTTTTGGCCAGCTCAGTGAGTGTTCATTCGCAGTGTGCATTCTGAGGGGTTTTTATTGAGATGGCGACAGTTAACACTTTCATATTTTAATATGTGTTTGCATAAATAACCTCATAGAAGGGAACCTCTGACGAAGAGAATTTTTGTCTTAAAACGCGTCAGTTGTCCTGCCCTTCTACATATTTAAAGTTTTCATGAGAAATTGTGTTTGCTGTAAACCTTACAAACCAACCGCTCATCATCCACTATGTGATTTTTCTCTCATTTTGTATAATAAAGATTGCCATTGTTTTATATACATGTGTATACAACTTGTACCTTTAAAGTTCCACATCCAGAGGAGTTTATTTCACTATCTATTCAAAATGGGGATGATGGCACTGTCTTAACACCACACCAATACTTATTTAAATATTATTGTTTACATCCATTGAGTAGGGATGGGACTTTTCAGGTACTGAGTAAGATGTTACACAAACTATCCAATAAAAAACAATTGTACTGTATAGCAACATAGAGTACCTATAATCAGTTAAAAAGGATGATTTTGTAGTGGTCATCATAACAAGAGAATAATGAAAAACACACATTATCTAAAAAAATACACACTGTACAAGTTTTTTTTATGTCAGTGTAGTATTTTTACTTATTGTAAGGTAATGTGTTATCAGTTTAGATACGTTGCCTCTTTATCTCCTGAGGAAGTAGACAGGGAAACACATTGAGAAAATACAGCACCACTTACTAGAGCTACATGTGTGATATGGTTCCTTACAATACGTAAAATTCCTTTTTGGAACTTTATGTTTGGACTTGTGGGTAGCCACTATGCCTCCTTAGC